TATAACATACCCGGCACTGAGAGTTAAGTTTCTCTGTTGCTAACCAAGGCTCAGTAAACAGGTTTCCATCTCTCATCTCATGAATCAGGTTCTCTCTTGCCCTCCCCGCGTGTTAAAAAGAGGGAGAGACCGGACCTAGAGGTTGCCCATTCTTTGGCTTGGAGACTCATTAATTGAAAACACTTGCGTGCACAACACAGGCTGGTTGGGTTTTGTGATTGGAGATTACGAAAATGGCTACTCTTTGCAGCTGCCCAGAGAGTCTGGGTCCAGGTTTAAACAGAAGTATATCAACAAAAGAATGGGGATTTATGGCAGCTGGAGCAATTTCTCCCTGATGCTGCTTTCGACTGTGGGAGTCAGAGAAACCTCCCAGGCAAGGACTGGGGTGGTGGGAGGAGGGGGCGCCGTGAACACAGAGGCATAGGACAATCAGATATACAACACCCAGAGGAGAAGCCAGTTCACACTGACACTCCTTTCCCTAAAGGCAGAAGAAATGGGACATGTTTCTAAGGGAAAGGGGCAGAGGAGCGAGCCTGCAGACACCCCGAGGAGGCCGGCTTCTCCGTGACTGTGGATAGCAAGCCGGCGGAATCAAACGATCAAGAGATCTTTTCTAACTTAACTCGATCATATGTCCTACTTTGGAGCTCTATTGTTTGTGGGGTTGATTAGGAAGACAACCTAGGGAGGGACCACATTCCAAACCCGCCTGCTTTTAGTTTCCGGAAAGACAGGTACATCGTTGCTTCCTCAGCGGGAGAAAAGTCTGCCTGACGACCTAGGTAAGGCGTCCTCGGAGGAGGGTCTCAGTTGCCAAATGCAAATAAACTTGTGCCTCTTTGCAAGTACAGCCATGAACGGGAGTAAGATGATAAGCTGTTTGACTTTATCTCCGTCTTAATTTCTCTCATAAACTCAGCGAGGTGGAATCTGGGCAGAGAATGTGCCAATGAGTGCTGGCAGAGCGGCCGGCAGGCCCTGGCTGGCTGTGTGACCTTGGGTTGGAAGCTCCACTTCTCTAGGTCTGTGTTCTTGCCCGTGGATCGGGGGATTGCGGCTGACTGGTGTTCAGTACGCCTTTCTTGAGTCAGTGATTCATAGCATGCTGATCGTCCAATGTCCTGGATCTTCCTAGGTGGCCTGATTCAGCGGTTCTCAAATGGGGGTTCTCAACGCCACCCGGGAGACATTTGACAACGTCTGGAGACATTTCTGTTTGTCACACTGGGTGCAGAGTGCTACTGGCATCCCATGGGTAGAGGCCAAGGATGCTGCCAAACATCCTATAAGCACAGGACAGTCCTCACAACAAAGAATTATCTAGTCCCAAATGTCAATAGTGCTGAGGTTGGGAAATTTTGCCTTAAACCATCAATTAGACATAAACTCACACCGTCCCTCCAAGTCAACACGCAGCCATGGGAGGTGTCCTAGATAAACTCTCTCCTCTTGCCCCCTGAAAATACAACAAGTCTTCCGAAGCGCCATGTCTGTGTGAATTCCTGGGGAGAAAGACGCTCCAAGAATCTGGTAGCATCTGAGATGAAGACTTGATGTCAACATGCATTTGCACCTGTAAGGAAAAGCAGAGTGCCCTCCATGTTTTCTCCAGAAGGAGAGCTCCATCTTGACCTCCCTTGTCACCCCTGAAAAATCCTTCGGTGGCCTCCTCCAGCTGCCAGAGTTTTGCAGAGAGGATAAGGAGCTTCTTCTCTTCAGTCTTCAGAATTCTAATGTTTAAACGAATGCATTTATTTAGGCTGAATGTAGCCTTCCACCCAAAGCATTATCAATTCTCCTTCAGGAGCCGCCAGTGACATCGGCCTCCTCCAGCCTGGCTTTTAACATGTGATTGTCGAAGCTGCTGGTTTCCACTCCCTGAGTTAACAAGACCTGACTTTGTGGATCATTTAATATTTATCTAAAATATTTGATACATATATAATGACATAATCACTCAGTCCCTTAGCCCGACATGGTTGCATAAGCACCTACCGGCTTTGAAAATCTACATTTTTCAGAATATGTTGTCAGTTAGTATAATGTATTCCGGAGCATAGATTTCTTGCCAAAATCATTCCGCCCGGTGAATGATAAATGTGTTGTGATTATTTCTTCAGCTTTTGTGAAAGCGTACAGTGTGGATAGTGTCTTGAAAGCAACACACAGACCCGAGGAACACAGTGCTTCTTTGTTTGGCTCGGCCATATTTAGAATTTGTTCTCTAAATTCCTTCTCCAAACTCTCTTTTACTAGTTTCTACTCCCTGAAGTGACTGGGGCTGGCAGTGGAATGCTGCGTTCAGCTAATAAGTTCTTCTTGGCTCCAGTATGTGTCTCTCTTAGTTAAGCCCGCGAGAACTTAATGAACTGTTGTGTCTCTCCTGGGTAAAGGTCATTGTAGCTCAGGTTTTAAAGTAACTTCATCTTTCAAAACTGGCTTGACAAATGGAAAAATCCAGAGCCCCAGATGTCTGCTATTTCTTGCTTCTGCCAGAGTGCATGGGAATGAATATTACAAGCAGCATGGAAACTGGGATTCCCCCAAAGAACTCTAAAGCACGTGACGTTTGATTAAAAATGTAAGCGGTCAACTCGTAGAGTGTTGGCCAAGACCAGGTTGAAGGGGGATCACCAAAGACCACCAAAATCACCACGTGTCTTGACCACCAAAGAGACCTCTTGGGTTAGTTAAGTCAACTCTTATATCTCAGAAGCTTCTCTAGGCATAAAAAGCAGTTGACGGTCTGTTCTGGTAGCTAAGAATCGTCCTTGACTCTTCAATTTCCCTCTCTCCACAGCCCCCATCCATTACAAGCTCTGTTGTATCTACCTCCAATGCATCTCCTGAATCAGTCTACTTCTCTACTGTCCCATAGCCACCCGCTAACCCAAGCCACATCCATCTTTGCCTGAATGTCTCCAATAACTCTCTTCCGCTTCTCTTGCTCCACCACAATCCATTTTCCACACAGCAGCCAGAATAATCTTTAAATCAGCTCATGTCACTCTTTGCTTAAAGCCCTTCAATGACTTCCCGTTGTTCTTAGAATTGATTCCTGAGGGCTCACTATGTAGGGTTGCCAGATGAGCAAAATAATAACCATATAGGATGCCCAGTTACATTTGAATTTCAGAGAAAAAACAACCACTCTTTTTAGTAGAAGTGTGTCCTGTGCAATATTTGAGACATACTTATACCAAAAACTTATTTGTTGTCTACCCGATATTCCGTGTAACTGGACGTCCTGAATTTTATTTGGCAACCTTACTTACAAGACTTTCTAGGGCTTGGCACCTGCCTGCTCCTCTAACTTCACCTCACACTCCTGTCCCTCTCTCTCGCCCCAGTGACTTTGGCCTCCAATATTCCAGGCGCTTTCTGACTCCTGGGCTTTTGTCCTGATGACGCCTTCTGCCTGGAATGCGCCTCCGTCAGCTCTTTGCGTGGCTTGTTCCTTTTCATTCTTCAGGTCTCAGCTCAAATATCCCTTCCTCAGAAAAGCCTCTCTTATCACCCTTTTCCCGTCCTTTAGAACTCTTTACCCCATCATCTTGTTTTATTTTCTTCATCAGGTGAGTATGCATTTATTTTTCATCTGCCTGCTTGCTTTTTGCCTGCGTCTTCTAGGGGAAGCAGAGCAGGGTTTCATCAGTCTTGTTTCCCGAGCCTGACCCAGGCCTGGTGCATGGCGGTAGCTCAGGGAATAAGTGAATGAACTTGTGTTTATGCTTTTGCTTTTAGAAGAAAATCCAGTCTTTCCCATGGTCTGCAAGGCTCCCCGCCTTTCGCTTTAATGCCAGCGTGGATGGAGCCTTTTCTACGGAGGCCTAGCACCTGTAAAGCCCATGGCCGTTCACGCTTTTGGTGACCTGTGTCACATCTACATCCACCATGGATGTGACACGTTGGTTGGTAGAAAGAATGCGAGCTTGGGTGGGAGAAAAATCTGGGCTTGAAGTCACTTCCTCTTTGAGCTTCAATTTTATTATCTATGTGACAGGGATGGCCAGACCTCATTTGTAGGCATATAGTGAAAAAATTAAAGGCAATGATACATGTAAGCCAGCAGTATAGGGTCTGGTGCACGGTTGGTCTTTAATAAGTAGTTGTTGAATTTACCCCTCACGAAGGCTCTCACAAATTCCTTGGTGGCACATTGTGATTCAGAGGCTATTAAGACGCTCCATGTAGTGTAGAATCTCCTGCTGACACTGTACACCTCTCCTTTCTCACTGCTCTGTTCACTTATTCTCTGTAATCCTTGCACCAAATTTCCACTGGTTCCAAGAAGCTCTTAGCTGTTTGTACAGCTCTGTGTTATCTGCTTTCTTAGAGGACAGAACAGGCAGGCATTGATCCTGGAAAGACCCTTTCTAGTCTCCTGCTTGCACGCAGGATGGTACCCATTCCTGTCTGCTCAGGTTCTGCTCCTTAAATATCCTCCAGGCTGGATCCGCTACGGATGTTGCTGTTGCCATGGTAACTATTATGGCCGCGATTTCCTCAAACTATGAAGGAAGAACAGCAGAGGTGCAAAGAACAGATGTAATTACTTATACTGAGCTTTAAGCGCTCCACATAAATGCTGGGTGATGCGTACCTGGACACATGGGTCCTTTAAACACTCGTCTTATAATAACCACCGACATCATATGGACTTGCTGGCTCGTGGAGAGAACTTCTATTGAAACCAGGAAATTCACTAGGTTACTGTTACGCTGTGGTTAGAAATTATTCTCCGTCTATTAGGGAATTTTCTTTTCAAGTTTGAAATTGTTTTATTCAAGTCTTAAAGTACCTCTGTAGTTTATTATTGTATTTTTAACTTTGGTGTGGCAATTCTAAAACACACCCGGAAATTCTCACCTCTCCTTGAGAGGTGAGAGAATATGGTTCTTCTCCTTGAATCAGGGATCGAGTGAGTTTAGTAACTTACTTGCAACCAACAGAATACAGTGGAAGTAACGTGGCTTCGGTTATGTGACTTCCAGGGCTGCGTCATAAAAGGCCGAGCTTGCACTTGATGTTGGAGTCTGATTATCATGTCAATCTGACTACCCTGAGGCCGTCATGCTGTGAGGAAGCCCAAGCCACCTGGAGAAATCACATGGAGGTGTATCAGTTGACAGCGCCAGTGGAGGTCCCAGTGGATAGCCAGCATTAGCCATCAGACATGTTGTACCTCCAGATGTCCCCGATCCCCAGTCATCAAATCACTCAGCCGTGAGTCACCCTCAGATGTTGCATCTTCCCAGCTGAGGCTCCAGACATCATGAAGCAGACACAAGCTGTTTCACTATGCTTTGCCCAGATTCCTGACCCACAGCATCTGTGAGCCTAATAAAAAGGTCCTTTTAATTGTCTAAGTTTTGGAGTAATTTGTGACACACCCACAGCAACTGGAACTGATGGGCTGGCTCTTGCTGGCTGTCTCAGGGGCACCTGGACGACATGGAACCCATGACTTTGTCTCTCCAGGTGCAAACTGACGGCTTTGCATGAACGCCCTTGAGCTCTCCTGGGGTGGTAACTTCAATGTCATTTAAACCAAAGTCCTTCAGCCTCAGGAATCATGACTGGGGATTTCTGCAACGATATTGGGAGCATGGGGAGGCGGGCAGCCCTGCAGGATGCACGGCACTGCTGGGGACATAGGAATGGGGTCCATTTGAGGGAGGTCTTGGGAACATTTTGCCCTGAGTGTGGGACTTCAAACCTTTATTAGGCCTCAGAGCTTTTATTGGACACCAGAGTGATGTGCCCATGGGTACAATTGTTGATTGAATTCCATCAATACACGATTCATTGCCCCTAGGCTTTCAACTAAGAAAAGAAATATGGTTTCAATTTGAGTCAGAAAAGGCCCGCCCTCCCTCATATTGATTCTGCGAGGTGGTGTCCATTTTAGCCAAAATTTCATATGTGCTCTGTTCTACTCTCAAAAAGAATCCGGCATTATTGGTGTGATCCCCAGTGTACGCGCTCACTGTATACTTAGCATTTGATTCCTGGAATATAGGCTCTTAGGTCTTCCAGCCGTCACTCTGCAACTTTGTTGCCATAGAAACTAATGTTTATGTTTATATCTATGCAGACTCTGTTTCTATCAGATTTTACTTCTCGGAGCAGCTGTTCTAAGTCATTTCACCAAGATGGACGTTAGTGGTAGGGAACAAAGCCCCCATTCTATTGAAACGGACATTTTGATCAGCATCATTACGGGCTCAAAAGTCAGAGTGGTTCCAAATGAAAATAAAAATGCTTCAGGGAGGGATCTTAAGGGACAGTATGGTCTGGAAAGCAAGTAATCCAGTGCTGAAGATGACGAATCCGATCCATGATTAAAGCCTCACTGTGCAAATAAACAGGGGCTCTATCGATCACTCTCCCTGGGGAAATCTAAACGAAATGTTCATATTTAAATGCCAATCTGTTCTCCACAGCCAAAGGATATAGCAGCTAAGTGGGATGCATATCCATGTTCTGAAAGGGACATTCTGGGTACCTCATTTATGCAGATGCGTCACAGTGGGATGGCTAGTTAACTTTCCCCAATGTCTTCACTAGGGCTCCGTCTAATATTTCCCGAACCGCCTCTGGAAACGATACATAACAGCCTCCTTTGCAAAGCAGAGGCCGCTGTCAAGTCTAACAGGCAGCCGACGTATCTTCTCCTACTTAATCTTGTTTCTGTTTTGTTATAACTGACAATTTGTATATACATACACACAGTTTTATTGTTTCCTTATTTTGTGCATCCATTCAACAAACACTGAGTTGTCGCCATGTCCCTGATGCTGTCTTTGACGATGGGTGATAACAATGAAAGGTAAAATTTATTGAGTAGCTACACGTACAATGCTTTGTGTGTGTTTCCTCATTTAATCCTCACAACGACCACATAGGTAAATATGATAATGGCTCCCCTTACTACAGTTGAAGAGACTAAGGCAGAGAAAGTAATTTGCCCAAGGTCACACAGTGGGTGAGTGGCAGGCTGGGATTCGGGGCTCCAGGGTCTGCTGTGTGAACTACCCTATTATACTGTTTTTGTTGGCCTGCTCTGGAGTTCATAGGCCCATGGGAGAGACAAATGTGTAAAAAACGATATGGCACGTGATATACAGTAATAGCATTGTATGCCATATCTGCTGCCATAGAAACTGAAAGGATGTGATTAAGTCTGCTTGGCGGAATGGAGGAAGGGTTAAGAGAGGTGGGTTGTATCAGCTGGGTCTTGAAGAAGGACTGAGTTTCTCAAGTAAAGAAAAGAAAGTGCATTCCAAGCAAAGGGAATAACCCACTGAGTGGAACAGATGCGCAAAAGGGCCAGCTGTATCATCTTTGTGGTCTTCCCTCCACTGGTTCCCTAGTCATCTTATTTATTGTGGGAAAATGTATACAACGTAAAGTTTACCATTTTAACCATTCTGAAGTGGACAGTTCAGTGGCTTTGAGCCCATTCACATTGTTGCGCAACCATCACCACCATCCTTCTCCAGAACTTTTTCACCATCCCAAACAGAAACTCTGTAGTTATTAAACACTAGCTCCCGACTTTCCTCTCCCGCCAACCCCTGATCACTACCGTTCTACTTTCCAGCTATATGAGTTTGACTCTAGGTGGAATCACACGATATTTGTTGTTTTGTGTCTGGCTCACTTGAGCTGGCATAATGTCTTCAGCTCTAGTTAACTTTTGAGCGTGTGGTTTCATGTTTCCATTGCTTTAGTCCATATTGCCACGTGATTGTGGATGAGGTCACATGTCACAGGAGGAGGAAGCAGAGTAGACATCTATTGGCTTATCTGCCCAGGGCCTGTCTTCTAGGACCTGCTCATCTTCCTCCTTCCATCTACTTGCTTACAAAGGCAGGAGCCATATTGAGGTTGACCCTCCTGGCCAGGGTTGACTGGATAAGGATGGCCTCTGATCTGAGCTGGCCCACGAGCCTCTTCTTTGGGAATGGGAAATGGCACCAAAAGAGTCCCACGAGTGTGGCTCTTCTTGGAAATAGGGGAGACTTAAGGGGGGAGCCAGTAGAGGTGGCCGTTTTGCACCAGGTGGCAGAGAAGCAGAGAAGAAGCCTTTTTATAGAGCGAGAAGGAGCAAAGGGATGAGAGAGAAGGCATTCTGAATTCCTCACATAGCTGCACTTTTGGCTGATATTTCCTTCCTGAGGCTAAGCTCTTGGCTGGCCTTGGGATCTAAGGGACACCCTGTAACCTTCTAATCAGATCTCCTTTCTGCTTGTGCTATCTCAAGCCATATTCTGTCACTGGCGACCCAAAATGTTCCAGTTAATACTGGAAGAATGTAAAAGTCCTGCTCTGCTGACCTCTACCTGAGCTACGAGTTTTGGGCTCTTTAGGGAGAAAGAAGAAACTCAGTCTACAGCTCTTTACCTGGGTGCAAAATGCTTGATTGAAGTCTGCAAACAACTCTGGGATTTTTGAAAAGATGCCCCAATTACAGCATGATCCATTAGTTCAAAGTTTCGACAGGAAGATGAGTTGTGGGTGAAGCATCTTCCCTCCTTATGTTCATTGCCCATAATTTGCTTCTCTTCCTACAAATAATTCTTCCTCTCAGAGAGCCCTCCTCTCTCCTTGAGTAACTGATCCCATCAAATCAGCTGCTTCCACTCCATGTTGCACCTTCACCCAACTGCCTTTCCAGAATTTAGTTTTCTAACTAGAACTCACTTGTTGGAAATGCTTACTCAGTGGCTTCTTTCTTCGCAAACAAAATGCTTGGCATCAATCCTCATTATGCTGGTTTCGCTTCTTTCCGTGAATTCCCCTATCTGTTCTAACATTCTGTAGCACTTTAATTCGAGGCCACTGGATTTCTTCAAGCTTCTCTCTCTTCCAGCTTTAAATTGATGGTTAATTTGGCCAGTGCCAGCCTCCGAATTATGCTGGACTCAATACTGACTCTGACTTTCCCTATTACCCCCAAGTCTCTTTCCATTTTGTACTTGAGAGACGCCGTAATTTTGTCAGCTACAAACACAAACCATGATATTTGTCCTCCCTGTGACAAGGTCTGGGGGCTTCCTGAGTGGCGATACAGTCAGGGCTGGGACTCGGGTGGGAGGAGGAAAGCAGTCAGGACACAGAATTTAAGGAGGCACCCAATCTTGGGGCCAGCCTTGCCCTTGCATGACCCTGAGAGTGACTGCCTCCTTAAATTTTGTGTCCTAAGTACCTCTCATGTGTCACCCTCATTCTGGCCCAGGTTATGGCTCACCACTATCTCCCGGGATTGTTCAGATGCCACCATGCGATCAGATCTTGGGGGTGAGAAATTCTCTTAAGAAGGAAGGTATTCCAAGTCCTGAGGAATGTGATGGGTCCTGGCCCTGTGAGGAGGCTTGTGGCATCAATTCCTCCAATATGCTTTGCATCTTAGCTTTTGTCATCCTGTCTTGGGATTTCTCATCTGTAAAATGGGAAGAGTAACTCTTCTTTGCTTGCATAGAGGTTAGGTGGGTTGGATATGGGAGCTGGAACTTGTCCAGCATGGTGTCGAGAATCTGGTAAGTGGATCAGACAGATCCATTGTAATTGCTATTAGGTTGGTGTGGTTTGATGAGGGATCACATCTAACATTTATTGATCATCTACAATAGCCAAACCCTGCTCTAAGCACTTTACACACATCAGTTTGTCTAATCCTAATAACATCCCTCTGAGACCAAAATTGCTATTGCCCCGTTTCTCGGAGGAGGGAAGAGAGGCAAAGACACACTGCTGGCAGGCGCAAGAGCCAGAAATCGGAACCACCAGGATTCTGTCTGTCTGGCCCAGGGCCCACAAGCCTGCGTTAGAGACCCATTCCTTTGGATCTGTAAGGCGTTTAGGTATTCTAAAGGCAGAACCCGGAAGGCAGTGCAGGAGAGGAGAGTGCTTATGGGTTTTGGAGCCAGGCAGAGCTGAAGTGACAACTCTGGCTCCTCATTAACTGGGTCATTGGGCAACTCTCTCTGAAGGGTGTCCATAAAATAAGGACCATAAAGTTACCGGGAGGATTGAGTGAGATGACGGTTGTAAAAGGGCTGCCCAGTAGCTGGCACACAGTAACTGTTCTGTCAACACTGGCTACTTGGTTATGCTCTTGCTGTGACCCAGCCTGCAGGGAGGTTGTGATCATCACACAGTGCCTGCAACATACCAGGGGCCCCAGTGATACTGGGGGTCTTCTCCCCACCCTTCAAGAATCCCCAACTAAAATGTAGGAAGCACCAGAAAGGTAAACATTTTACAGTGATCTTTTGCCAACAGGTGACATTTTGATACACACCTGGGGATAGACTCTACCAGATACCTGGACTGAGGGCTCTGCAGAAAAAAAACTAATTGT